CATGCCTTAGACCGCTCGGCTACCGTGACCGGCAGTGTATAAGAATAATATATAAGAATTCAGTCCGTACCTCACAGGAAACAGATCCGAACCCACGATCCCGGCTTCCGAGCGAGCGAAGACAGTTCATGCCTTAGACCGCTGGCTACCATGACCGGCCCTCATACATGTATATAAAGGTTAATTTTTAATAGATATTAAATTTTGAAAGATCCCCCGGTACCCATTGGATAGAAGGCTGCGTGGGTCCCAGAGCCGGTCAAGGGGTACGTAAGATTGGATAAACTTAAAAGTGAAGACATCGGGAAAGAATTAGGAGTATTTTGAATGCACGACAGGCTAAGAAGACAGACTAAAATTGGCTTGAACTTGTGTAAATGATGGAAGATGGACGAGTGCTGAAGTAGGTTGTTTACAGTACCACAGGAAGAAGAGACCCGACTAGACCATGCAGACGGTGGAAATTCATAGAAGCTGGAACAGGCTAAGAGCTTAATCCTTGAATTGAAGAAGAAGAAGAAGAAGAAAGTTATCCCCTGAAAATGCCCTGCGCTTTGGAGCTGAGGTCTTGTGTAAAACAGTTATTCAGTCAGTCACCCAGTTCTCTTATTCTTAACGGTTACTTTCCTATCTTACTTTTCGTCCTGAAGACGTAGACGGTATGTTGTTTCGAAACGTTCGGTGAATTGGTGCATGACTGCAGAGCGTCACAACCCAGAAGGCAGAGTGTTTCCGGCGTCTTCCTGATGACTCGGGTCTGAAATATTTATGTCAGACTGTACGCTCCTTTAAAAGCGATAGTAAGCAGTCAATTTCGCAGAAACGCGGAAAACACATCAGCGTTTACAGTTTTACTTTGGCGACTGTAAACCTCCCTTTTATTTTATCGTGGCAGTTGGCAATGTTAGAGGTATCCATGTAGGAACCATATTTCGCAATGACAGTTTGCTTTATAGTAACTTCCTTTTGTGTTCACATAAAGGAACTTAAGTTGTGTGAGATGGCTGAGTAAAGCGACTGGCTGTAACCTTGAAGGCAAGGGTTCAATTATCGGTAGGGACGTTCAGATTTTCCTCTTCCAAGTATCGCTCGGAGTGGCTGAGTTCAGCATAGGCTCGTGTCTGATGGAGAGCGAGGAGTCTTTCCTCGGAATATGGTACGTACTTAGCATTGATTGATTCCGTAAAGTCTTCTTCAAAAGATAAAATCCCCTTCAAGAAACATGAAATTCATACTGTACTCGAAGATTGTTACTGTGGTCACACGAAACCACAACTGGTGCTACCCTGCGGCAGAAATTTCAAGCCGTATATTTCCATGCCACTTTTTCAGTATTCGTTTTAATATTATCCTCCCATCAATAAGTCTTCCAAATCTCTTCTGTTGTGGTTTTGTTGAGGTTTCCAGGCTAAAACTCTACAAGCACGTCTCATTTCTTTCACACGTTACATGAACCGCCCCTATATTCTTGACTTGATCATCCCTGAACGAGGAGCTTCGTTTCGTGTATTTTTCGCAAAATATTATTGGAATAATCAGGTCGAGTGTGAGATGAACAGGTATGTAGTATGCATGGGGAGACGTTTACGGTTGGAAAGCCAGGAGGACATTAAGAAAACTTAGACGTAGTTGGAAGGATAATATTAAAATGGAAATTAGAGTAATAGGTTGAGTTGGTATGGACTGTATTAATCTGGCTCAGGATAGGGACCAGTATGAACATGGTAATGAACCTTCGGGTTATATAGTAAAATGTTGGGGAATTCTTGAGCATCTGAGTCATTTATCGCTTCTCAAGAAGGGTCCACCTCCATCG